CTATATAATTAGGGCTGGAAAGGTGGCTCAGTGGTAGAGCGCTTGCCTTGCTTGAATGAGGCCCTGGGTTCAATTCCTCAGCACCATATAAGAAAAAAGAAAAAAGCTGGAAGTGGCACTGTGGCTCAAGCGGTAGAGTGCTAGCCTTGAGCTGAAGAGCTGAGGGACAGCGCCCAGGCCCAGAGTTCAGGCCCCACGACCGGACCCCCCCCAAAAAAAAAGGTCTATATAATTAGATAGAAGCTGAAGGAGGTACCAGAGGTGGTTCACCATATCTCAAATGAAGGGGAGATATCTTTGAGACTTTATGGATGCATCCTGAACACAAGGCAAAACTTTGCATAGCAAGTAGCTTTATGTGAAAAACTTGGAGAAGCAAAAAATAGTGTTCCAAAAACATACTATTATTATTCCCAGAAATAGTTATTATGCTGCATACCTGAGAGACACACTGGTATTTTCCCAATCCTGCCTACATTAACTGTCTTCAGCTACTATGTAAAAAGAAATTGAACACTACCTCAATGTGCAATTTCTGTATTTTCATGTCACTTTTTACAAGTCCAGCCAGGCATTGGTGGTTCATGCCTGTAATCTTAACTATTCAGGAGGCTGAGATCTGAGGATCCTGGTTCAAAGCCAGCCTAGACAAGAAAGTCTGGAGACTCTTATTTCCAATTAACTACCAAAAAGCCAGAAATTATGCTGTAGCTCAGAGTGGTAGAGGACTAGCTTTTAGCACAAAAGCTCTGGGACAATGCCAAGGCCCTAAATTCAAACCCTAGAACTCCCACCAGAAAAAAAAAAAAAAAAAGTCCAGACTAAAAGAACACCACCAGTTTCAGGTTCCAGGCCAGCCTGTGCTATAAAATATGTCTCAAAAAGTAAAACTAGAGCCAGGCGCCAGTGGCTCATGCCTGTAATCCTAGCTACTCAGGAGGCTGAGATCTGAGGATCACGGTTCAAAGCCAGCCCAGGCAGGAATGTCAGTGAGACTCTTATCTCCAATAAAAACCACTAGAAAAGCAGAAGTGGTGCTATGGCTCAAGCAGTAGAGCATTCGCCTTGAGCTGAAGAGCGCAGGGAAAGCTCCCAGGCCCAGAGTTCAAGCCCCACAATGGACCAAAAAAAAAAAAAAGTAAAAACTAAAAACACATGTGTAATTCAGCACTGGGGACACTACCCAATATGGTGCACATATGTAATCCCAGGACTGGGGAGGCTGAGGCAAGGTCTCAGTTTGACACAAGCTTGAGTTACACACTTGTCAAAAGAAAAAAACTTTCCAAGATACACACACAATCTCCAAATTAGTTATAAAACCTCTTTACCTCTAAATTTTTAAGTTTTAAGTATTCAGCTAACTTGCCTCTTATCATCCAGGTATGAAACCTGTGCCTTTTCTAGTATTCCTGAAATCCTTCTTTTTTTTGGGGGGGGGTCCAGTCGGGGGGCCTGAACTCTGGGCCTGGGCGCTGTCCCTCAGCTCTTCAGCTCAAGGCTAGCACTCTACCGCTTGAGCCACAGCGCCACTTCCGGCTTTTTCTTTTTGCTTATGTGGTACTGAGGAATTGAACCCAGGGCCTCAGGCATGCAAGGCAAGCGCTCTACCACTGAGCCACCTTCCCAGCCCCTGAAATCCTTCTTATAGATGAGAATCACATGAGCTCTATGTAAGGAAGGTTACGTTCTGTACTTGAGTTTTATGTATTTTAGTCTTATTTCTTCAAAACAGTTTGGCAAGCCAGGCGCCAGTGGCTCACACCTGTAATCCTAGCTACTCAGGAGGCTGAGATCTGAGGATCGCTGTTCAAAGCCAGCCCAGGCATGAAAGGCTGTGAGACTCTTATCTCCAATAAGCCACTAGAAAACCAGAAGTGGTGCTGTGGCTCAAGTGGTAGAGTGCTCACCTTGAACTGAAGAGTGCAGGGAGAGCGCCCAAGCCCAGAGTTCAAGCCTCATGACCGACCAAAAAAAAAAAACAGTTTGGCATATCTGATCTAGTTCTAGTGATGTGACCACTTCCAGTTCAGCTATAAAGAAACTGTAATTAAGCCAGAACACTGGTGGCTCCCATCTGTAACCCAAACTACAAGAAGGTTCAGGGCTAGCCAAGGCAAGTGTTCATGAAACCACTATCCTAGCAGAAAAAGCTGTGTGTGGATGCTTGTGCCTATCATCCCAGCTATGTCAGGAAGGGTAAAAAAAAAAAAATAATAATAATGTTCGAAGCCGGTGCTGATGGCTCATGCCTGTAATCCTAGCTACTCAGGAGGCTGAGATCTGAGGATCACGGTTCAAAACCAGCCCAGGCAGGAAAGTCCATGAGACTCTTATCTCCAATTAACAACCAGAAAACCAGAAGTGGTGCTGTGGCTCAAGTGGTAGCCTTGAGCTGAAGAGTTGAGGGACAGCACCCAGTCCCAGAGTTTAAGCCCTATGACCAACAACAACAAAAACTAGGTTCAAAGGATCAGTAATGTCAGCTACTTGGGAGGAAGAGATGGGGATAAGTTTGACATCAGCTAGGGTGAAAAGAAGTTCAAGAGATTCCATCTCAACCAACAGTTAGGCTAGGCCCAGTGGCTGTACTCCAGTCATCCCTAGTACCAAGGGGAAGCACAAGTAGGAGGACCACAGTTCAAGGTGGCCTGGGAATAAATCCAGACCCTCCCTCAAAAATAACCAAGGCACAAAGAGGTGATAGGTATACCTCAAGTGGTAGAGCACCTGCCTAGCAATGATCACACCCTGAGTTCAAGCCCCAGTGTGCCCTCTCAAAAGGAAATTGTAATTAGATCTAGAACTATGCAGATATTTTGATTTAATCAAGTTAAAACACAAGTGGCTTTCTGCCTTCTTTTCTACCAAAGCAAATCTTTTCCATGTTCATTAGAAAGCCCCAGTTATTTCTTTTCTTCCTCCTGTAGAATCTTCTATTTTGGCTTTAAAGCCTCAGAAAAGGTACTCCTGGAATACTTCCTTGGACTGCCTATTTTTAGTTTGCACTACATGCCAAGAAACAGAAACAAAATTAAATTTCTTTAAATACACTAGAGACTTGCAGCACAGCAAATTAATCTGATAAAAAACATTTCCAGGACAGAATAAAAAAAACACACACATAACAAAAAAAACATATTTACAGAGAAAAATCCAAAATTATGCTCTTAATAGTGAACCAAAAGAATATGTGTATATGGGGGGGGAGTTACTGAGAAATATAGAAGCTAAGTATAGTCCAACTATATTTCAACGAAAAAAAAAGTACTTTAATAACTCTATTTCTTTAAGGTGCTTTAATAACTATATTTCTTTAAGGTGAAAAAAGTAATGTTTGTCCAACTAAAAGTGTAGAAAATTCCTCTAATTATTTTTCATATCACTTCAGTGACCAATGCCAAATTAATTATCAAGCACATTCTCCTAATATGCAATATTTTATATTAATTATAAACAAAAAGCATAAAACAACTTCACTCAAACTCAAAAGAAAGTCCCACATCAACTCATTGATTAACATACAATAATTGACTACACCTATGGAATTTTCCATGCTAATTGTTAATTAGCAAGAAGTCTGGTTAGTTTTCCATGAATTTCAAGGTTAGTTGTATTGTTGTTTCCCAAAAAGCACATATTGTAGAAAGAAGACACAAACCTAAGGACTGACTCAGATGAACAAATATGCTGCATTACTTCTAATAAACGGTTTGTCCTTATTTAAATTATCCTATTAAAATGAGGAAATGACTCTCTAATCATATAATGCATATAATTAACATGCAAATACAATCCAGTTACATTCACATGGGCACAAGTGGTTTTAAACATTTTGCATACTTGCTGACTGACCTTAAATACCAACTTCCTGAACCAAAGAAGAGTTTAAAAATTCACAGGGTAAAGCCTTAAGAGAAATTTAGTCACAGATAAGGATATTTTTTTCTTAGACAAGTGATTTTAAACTCATAGTTTAAAGCATAAAAAAAGAATTCAAATTATCAACAACTGTTGATATACGCCTAACCACAACAGTAAATCAAAGTTAATGGGACAAAGCAGACACTAGCAGCGGTGGATAAACCCCTCTAGGAAGCTATGCACTGAAACCCTGCAAAAAGTTGTATGCTTTTTAGGCCCATTTCTTTTACAGACATTCAATCCTTCATCCACACATTCACTCTTGAGTGGAATCAGCAGGAGCAAGGACTGTCACTTCCTTTGGAGAACCAAGGAAATGAAACCTTGAGTTGAGTTTATACGGACTACAACCTAAAGGACGCCAAAGTAACTGTACTTCTGGTACGTCTTGCCGCCTGCCGACTTGATACACTTAAATTAGCTCAAGCACGCGCCCAGAATCAGGAGTGACAACTGAATTAGCAGAATACTAACATCACTAAAAATCAACTCGGAGGAGTGCAAAGGGAAGAGGGGCGACCTGCCATTCTTTCCGATCGGTGCCAGCCCGACCTAGCCCACGCCTCCCCCTTTCTCCGGGCAGGGCCTAAACACACAGGAGCTGCGTCCCTAGAGCCGACCCCGCACCTCCTGTCAGACGCCGGGCAGGCTGCGCTGCTGTCACCTCCAGTGGGCGCGACCCATCCTGAGAGGACCGCCCGCCGGGGCTCGGCTCCGACTTCGGGGGACCCGGGCATGGAGATCGAGCATACAAGTCTGGTAGGCAAAGCTGCCAGGGCTTCGAGTCCTGGGACATCTCAAAGGCCAGGAGGGGCGACCCGGGGGACCAGAGGCCGTGACACCCCTTTAGGGGTCGCGGCTCAGAGAGCCCGGACAGCAGTCGCGGAGCTCGGACTCTCCCGGCGCCCCGCACCTTGCCAGGTTGTGCTGGATCGCCAGGCACCGCCGAGGCCCCACACTACGAGCGGACCAGAGACCCGGCAGGGGTCCCCCAGCGAGAGAAGGGCGGGCCGGCGGGCACCCCACAGCCGGAAGGGGTTTGCCCCGCAAGCTCTGCTCCAACAGGCCGGGCTTACCTTCAGGTCGTTCTCTGGAAGGTACTTGCACAGCCGCGCTATTTCCACATACTTGTCCAGATCCAGAGGCGCCATTTTAGGAACAACAAGCGGCGGTAGCGGCGGCGGCGGCGGCAGCGGCGGCAGTACTGGCGGAGGCAGCGGCGGAGGCCGAAGCCGGAACTCCGGCTGCGTCACTTCCGGATCGTGAGTGGCGTCTGCGTAGTGACGTCGGAGCCTGACATCCTTCTCCCCGGAAACTTCCTAACGCGTTAGGCCCTCTTCGCTGAACCCGGGGTACCGGCCGAGAGAGAGCCCCAGTCGTTCAGGCGTACAAGACTAGCTGGGACCCGTAATTGTTGGTCTCGAGGAATGCTGGGACTTGTAGTTCTCAGCTACGGCTGACTACTCTTCTTTTTATTTTGGTTTTTATTTCACCTTTTTTCCTCCAGATTCATTGCGGGGGAACCTGGCGACGCATTTCCGAGAGAAAACGGCGATTTGGGAAACTGAACATTCCCTGGTTTCTTATTCCGACCCTGTGAAGCACTCAACATCTTCACTTAAAAAATTGGGTAAGCCTAGCTGTTGCAGCCTTACCTGGGAAGTACCTTCCAAGGCCTTGTGAAGGTCCTGCCTAGACCTGCGGCACCCAAGTCAGACCTCCAGTCCTCAGGAAAGAAGGAAAGAAAATGTTGAGACTTATGCTAAATGCTATACAAATATTGCTTTTCCCTCCCATTTTATATTTATAACGATTGATAGGATTGGAAAGCTTAGGTTCATTAAATGATTTGCCCCAAATCCCACAGGAAACTGACAGTGGAGCCAAGATTGGAAAACAGGTTACAGACTTAAGGATACTTTCACTTGAGTTCCCTGAGGGCGGGGAGCTTTTTGTTGTAGTCCCAGTGCTAACAACAGTACCTGGGACCTGGTGCCAGTGGCTCATGCCTATAAACTTAGCAACTTAGGAGGCTGAGGACTGAGCATTGCGTTTGGAAGCCAACCTCATGCAGGTATGTCCATGAGATACTTATCTCCAAAAAAGTAGGAAATGGAGCTGTGGCTCAAGTGATACAGCACTAACCTTCAGTAAAAAAGGTAAGGGACAGGCAGGCAGAGAGACAGTGTCCAGTCCCTGAGTTTAAGACCGAGTAACACCCCTGCTCAAAAAAAAAAAAAAAAAAAAGGATCTGGCACTCAGTATACCTTTAATGCTAGTTTTATTTTTTTTAATTAATTAATTTATTTATTTATTTTACCATTCCTGGGGCTTGAACTCAGGACCTAAGGACTGTCCCTAGGCTTCTTTTGCTAAAGGCTAGCACTCTATTTGAGCTCTAATAGTTCATTTTTACAATTGTCTACTGACCAATATTTGTATCTCAGGTACCATTGTAGGCATTTTGTATATTCAGTCAACACAGTACAGAACCTTCTCTATTCTCAATCTGTAATTTATATGCTAGGGAAGATAGAAGATAAACAATAAATGACTTATAGAATAATAGAAGTGATACCTGCTAAGGAAAAAGCTCAGCAGAGGGGCTGGGAAGGTGGCTCAGTGGTAGAGTGATTGCCTTGCATGCATGAGGCTCTGCGTTCCATTCTTCAGCACCACATAAGCAGAAAAAGCTGGAAGTGGGGCTGTGGCTCAAGTGGTAGAGCACTAGCCTTGAGCTGAAGAGCTGAGGTACAGCACTCAAGCCCAGAGTTCAAGCCCCACAACCGACCAAAAAATAAATAAATAAAAATAAAACTTCGGGCCAGGCGCCGGTGGCTCACACCTGTAATCCTAGCTACTTAGGAGGCTGAGATCTGAGGATCTCCGTTCAAAGCCAGCCCAGGCTGGGAAGTCCATGAGACTCTTAGCTCCAATAAACCACTAGAAAACCAGAAGTGGCGAACTTCTTGCCGGGTGCCAGTGGCTCACACCAGTAATCCTAGCTTCTCAGAAGTCTGAGATCTGAGGATCATGGCTCAAAGCTAGCCTGGGCAGAAAAGTCCCTGAAACTTTTTTTTCTTTGTGGGGGGCAGGGGGCAGGGGTGAGGGGGAGAACATTGTCAGTAGTGGGGCTTGAACTTTGGGCCTGGGCACTGTCCCTCAGCTCTTCAGTTCAAGGCTAGTGCCCTTTAGCCACAGAGCTTCTTCCAGTTTTCTGGTGGTTTATTGGAGATAAGACTCTTACAGGGCTGGGAAGGTGGCTCAGTGGTAGAGTGCTTGCCTTGCATGCATGAGTCCCTGGGTTCGATTCCTCAGCACCACATAAGCAAAAAGAAAAAAGCCATAAGTGGCGCTGTGGCTCAAGTGGTAGAGTGCTAGCCTTGAGCTGAAGAACTGAGGGACAGCACCCAGGCCCAGAGTTAGGGCCCCACAACTACCCCCCCCAAAAAAAAGACTCTTACAGACTTTCCTTCCCTGACTGGTATTGAACTGCAATCCTCAGATCTCAGCCTCCTGAGTAGCTAGGATTATAGGCGTGAGCCACCTGTGCCCAGCCGTGAGACTCTTTAATCACCAGAAAACCAGAAGTGGCACTGTGGCTCAAGTGGTAGAGTGCTAGACTTGAGCAGAAAAGCTGTGGGTCAGCACCCAGGCCCAGAGTTGATACAAGCCCCATGACCAACCAAAAAAAAAAATTAATTAAAAAAAAAGTTTTCCCTGAGGGCTGGGGATGTGGCTTAGTGGTAGAGTGCTTACCTAGCATACATGAAGTCCTGGGTTCAATTCCTCAGTATCACATAAACTGGTGTTGTGTCTCAAGTGATAGAGTGCTAGCCTTGAGCTAAAAAAAACTCAGGAACAGTGCCCAGGCCCTGAGTTCAAGCCCCAGGACGGGCAAAAAAAATTTCTTGAGTTGGCTTTTTACTTATATTAGTATATCCTCAGCAGCTTTCTCTGCACATCAGGTACTGCTTTCCCATTCTGTACACAGAAGTCATGATTTAGAGAGGATGCTGAACTTGTCAAATGTCAGCATTTCATGGTTAGTACTGGGCTTGGATTTGAACCCAAGTCTTCCTTCCCACTAAGCTGTTGTTGCTAGCCCAGCTGTTCCTCCAGTTCCTAGGACATAATGATTTTAGAAAGCCTGTGGTTCTTTGAATGAGACATAGGTGAGCAATCTCTATTTTAGGAGTCACAGGAAAGCGATGGCTAGGAAATAAGTCAGAGATAATTCAGGTGAACATGCCCCAAATGATGTAGTACTGGTATGGGCAGTTAAAGGGTGCTGAGCATAGTGTAGACATTATATTCTCTGTTCCAGCACACACACAACTATGATATACCTTGCAAGGTTAGTCTTACAGAAGAAGTACTCTGAAACCCAGAGAAAAGTTAACTTCCTCAAGAACAGAAAATTTCACCAGTAAACATTTTATTCCTTGCACTCTTTGCAGTCATACCTAGTTTTGTTATCTTTTTTGTTTCCTCTCTTTTGTCAGACTGTAAGTCCCAGGAGCACAAGGGTATGTTTGGAGCCTGGCCTAGCCACAAATGGCAGTTGTTGGGATGAGTCAGATGTTTAATTAGATACCAAAGCCTGAACTGGCCTCAAGACTGCACACGCTGGATCGCTCCCGACTCCTACCCCTGCAGAAGCCCTTTCTATCAACCACAGTCACTGTGAGCCCCTGTAGGATACAACAGCTGCGCAAGGAATTTGGGCCACCCAGTGGATGCTCAACCCAAGGCATTTCTCTTGTAAGTTTCCAAGTGGCCGGGCTTATTTTTCTCCCCAGAGGCAGGGATGCTCCAGAAACAGCCAGTGGGCCAGGCTAACACCTGGCAACCATAAGCATAAGCTTTGTTCCCTAGATGCCCAAACTAGCAGGCCCCTTGGGGTGGGGCGGAGGCGGAGGCGGGGCGGAGGCAGGGCAGTTTCAGCAGAAGCCCAGCGGTTGGCTGCAGTATGTTTCCAATCCTAGTTGAGGTTCCAGTGCTAAGTCCAGCTCCCTCTGGTCAGAGCCTCCTCCCATGACTGACCTAAGTCACTGCAGGTAATGGGGTGCAGCTTGATCATGGGAGAGGGTCAGCCTCGCAGGTTAGGGGAGTGGGTCTGAATCACTTGGAAAGGGTGCACCCATAGTCCCAACCAAGGCACGTTGACTGAAAACAACCAGCCATTCAGAGATGAGGGGCAGGGAAAGACACATTGATGGGATTGGCTGCTAATAAATCCACCGCTGGGATCCCACCCCACTGGATACCTGGAAACTGGTCCATGAGCTAAACCCTTTTCTTGTTGGTACTGGAGTTTCTTGTTGGCCCCCGGTGGGCCTTGCACTTACTAGGCTGACACACTGCCACTTGAACCATGCTCTCAGCCTTTGATTTCTCCTTTTCTTCCTTAATTCATTCTTTACTCACTTCTACGTAAGGCAGTCCATTTTTAGGTTCTCAGAATGAATTATAAGGCCCAGCACTCTACAAAATTGGTTTCTAGAATGTGAAGACTAGATTTGAAGTTTAAAGTACATCATTACATTCAGAATGATTACTGCAGTGATAGTAACTTAATAGATACTTGTCAGAGTCCTGAGCAGAAGGAAGTCAGTTAGGGGAGTGAAATTAAGAGGAAAGCAAAAGAAGCAAGGAAGGTTTCTTTGAGGAAGGGACATTTAAACTAAGGTTTGGAGATTGACTAGGAATTTGCAGGTTTACGTGAAAAAGGTAAGAGAAGCCATGCAGATTGTGGGTTATGAAATAGTCTGCAAAAGAAACTGCTAGAGATTTTAGAGGTGGATTCCTGGAACAAATGGCTGGACTTCTGTGCCATACTGAGGCCAAAATTTGCCCTAGAGTTCAGTATTTCTCAGCTTCATAAAATGTTTTATTCTTAGTGAGGCATCAGTGGCTCATACCTTTAATCCTAGCTACTCAGGAGGCTGAGATCTGAGGCTCGAGGTTCAAAGCCAACCTGGGTCAGAACATCTATGAGACTCTTATCTCCAATTAACCACCAGAAAACTGGAAGTGGCTCTATCACTCAAGTGGTAGAGCTCTAGCCTTGAACTGAAGAGCTGAGGGACAGCGCCCAGGCCCAGAATTTAAGCCCCATGACTGAAAAAAATTTTTTTAATGTTTTATTCTTTCATAAACACCTATAGCCTCTGAAATTTTGATATATGCCTCCTCCATGAGAATCACAGGCAGACAATGTTAGCCAAAAAAATAATCCTGTTGGATTGTGTTAAAAAATAATCTTGTTGGCTGGGCGCTGGTGGCTCACACCTGTAATCCTAGCTACTCAGGAGGCTGAGATCTGAGGATCGCGGTTCAAAGCCAGCCCGGGCAGGAGAGACCGTGAGACTCCTATCTCCAATAAACCACCAGAAAACCAGAAGTGGCGCTGTAGCTCAAGTGGTAGAGCACTTGCCTTGAGCTGAAGAGCTGAGGGACAGCGCCCAGGCCCAGAGTTCAAGCCCCATGACCGGACCCAAAAAAAAAAAAAGATGAAATTGTCTGCAGTTTCTAGGAATTAGACTCAAACTTCTGAGAAAGTCTTCAGAGAAAAGATGGGGGGTGGGGGAAAGCACAATAATTATCACAGAGCAGATGTTAATTTTATTAAAATCCCTTTACCAAAAAGAGTAAAGCACTGACCATCTGTTATTCTCAGCTCCAATGCTCTGTCTTCCCTTGAGCTGTGATTCATTCTTAAGATTTTAGGGAATTGAATTTAGATTAAACTGGCTTCAGTGTTTCTTGGCTGTTTATTCAACCAACCCTTCATTCAGCTAACATTGGCCTGACAGGTGCAGCTGTTATGTAGGCATTGGAAGTGCAAAGGTAAACAGTATCTGTGAACGGGGCTTTTGACCAAGCAAGCGATGGTACTGAAATGTTATCAGTGCTGAAGAGGGACTCACTAAAGGCTGCAGAGAGGCGTCAGTGTTTCCCCAGGACCAGTAGAAGTATCTCCAATCTGGCATTCCTTTGGATTGGAAACGAGAACAATTTCTGTGCTTGTTTTACTTAAAAGGAAACTAAAATTTAGAAAAGTTCAGTCATTTCTAAAGGACACACATCTAGAAAGTATCAAAGCTTGCTGGGCACTAGTGGCTCACACCTGCAATCCTAGCTAGTCAGAAGGCTGAGATCTGATGACAGTTCAAAGCCGGCCCCAGTAGAAAAGTCTGTGAGACTGTTATCACTAATAAATCACTGGAAAACCACAAGTGGTGCTGTGGCTCAAGTGGTAGAGTGCTTGTCTTGAGCTGAAGAGCTGAGGGAACAGCACTCAGAACCAAAGTTCAAGCCCCTGGGCTGGGAAGATGGCTCAGTGGTAGAGTGCTTGCCTTGCATGCATGAGGCCCTGGATTCAATTCCTCAGTACCACATAAGCAAAAAGAAAAAAGCCGGAAGTGGAGCTGTGGCTCAAGTAGTAGAACGCTAGCCTTGAGCTGAAGAGCTGAGGGAAGTGCCCAGGCCCAGAGTTCAGGTCCCACGACTGGACCCCTCCCCCCCCAAAAAAAAACAGCCCCACAACCAATAATAACAAAAAGAAAGTATACAAGCTGAGAATTGAGCTAGCTCTTTCCAAATTTCATAAACCATGTTTATAACCATTGTGCTGTGCCAGGACACACTAATGAACATTTCTGAATGTCTGTTTCCCTATTACCAACTTTTTTTTTTTTTTTTTGCTAGTCCTGAGGCTTGAACACAGGGCCTGAGCACTGTCCTTGAGCTTCTTTTGCTCAAGGCTAGCACTCTACCACTTGAGCTGTCTGGTTTTCTGGTGCTTAATTGGAGATAAGATTCTCACAGCCAGCCGGGCGCCAGTGACTCATACTTGTAATCCTAGCTACTGAAGAGGCTGAGATCTGAGGATCACGGTTCAAAGCCAGCCTGGGCAGAAAAGTCCATGAGACTCTTATCTCCAATAAACCACTAGAAAACCGGAAGTGGTGCTATGGCAGTAGAGCACTTGCCCTGAGCTGAAGAGCACAGGGATAGCGTCCAGGCCCAGAGTTCAAGCCCCACGACTGACAAAAAAAAAAAAAAAAGATTCTCACAGCCTTTCCTGCCTGAGCTGGCTTTGAACCGCAGTCCTCAGACCTTAGCCTCCTGAGTGGCTCATGCCACCAGCGCCTGGCACTTCTAGTTTTTTTCTAAGGAATTGAACCCACGGCTTCATACATGCTGTGCAAGCATTCTACCATTAAGCCACCTTCCCAGCCAGTTTTTCTATTATCAAATGTAAACCTTACTAGACCCATGCATTCCCAACAGATTGCTCTGAAATGGATTCAGTCGTAGTAGCTCACTCTCATCTAATCCTGGCTACATGGGAGGAAATTGAAAGGATTGCAGTTCCAAGCTATTCCAGCAAGACCCTACGTGAGCCTCAAACTGTGTGGTGGTGTGATCCAAGTTATGTGGAAGGTCATAGGTAAAAGAACCATGGTCTAAGGCTGGCAAAGCACAGACCATATCTGAAAAATAAACAAATGGAATGGGGAATGTCTCAAGTGGTAGAGTGGCTCTACTAGCAAGTGGAAGGCCTTGAGTCCCAACCATAGTATCACAAAAAATAAGATGATTACTGTGATATCAGATTGACAAAACCAAAAAGCCAAAGATAAGCAAATGGAAGGTTCTGTTACTGATCATAGAAGTGTTGGTTTGTTGGATCCAATTTGAAGCTTCTATGTTATAGGGGATGAAAAAAATACACAGCTACATTTATTCCCTGCTCAAGCCCCTGAATATATCTTCCCTTTGACAGGTACACTTTGATTCCCCTTGGAGACAGCCCCAGCCCCCGAGTTGGCCACAGCTGCTCATATTTGCCCCCTGTTGGTGATGCCAAGAAAGGGAAGGTCTTCATTGTTGGAGGAGCAAATCCAAACCAAAGCTTCTCAGATGTACATATGCTGGATCTAGGTAAGATTAACAGGTATGGAACACAGCTGGCTTTGGGATAGCAACTGTTAACAGAATTCCTAAGAATACTAGACAGCTCAGACCAGAGAGAAGGCTGTTTCTTAGAAAGAAAGATAGACAGACAGACAGACTTTCTTAGAAAGACAGATAAAAAGAAAGGAAGGAAGGAAGAAAGGAAGGAAGAAAGAAAGAAAACCAACAACAACCACAACAACATCACAACATCACAGGCCAACTACAGTGGATCACACCTGTAATTCCAGCTACTTGGGAAGCAAGAAAAGAAGATCAAAGTTCAAGGTCCCCCATCTCAGCCAACAGTGGCACATACCTATGGTCCAAATTAAACAGTAGGCTATAAGTAAGAGGATTGTGGTAAAAAATATTGGGCAAAAAATATGAGACACTAGAAAGTGAATATTGTCTTAAATACAAATCCAATTACATCACTCTCTATCTTCAAGCCTTTCCTAACCACATTTCTTGGTTCTCCTCAACCCACCATTGCTGTACTGACTAGAACTTCAGGTCTTTGGACACATTTTGAGTTCTACCCTACAAGTCATGGCACACAGTGTTTCCTCTCCATGGAAAGTATTTCTCCTTCCTTACCACAGATCCCAAATTAAAAGCCTGCAGATCCCAAATTAAAAGTCCCTTTCTACCTGAAAAGCCTTTTCTTGATACCTACAGTCTAGTTTAGGCACTAACTCCTCTAAAGTCCATAACAGCACATATTCTCCCATCCACCACCTTACAGCCCTTGACATACAAGATTTTTTTTTTTAATCTGTCTTCCCCAAGAGAAAACAGGCTCCTTGGAGATAGGTAATATGGTTATTTTCCTCATCATTATGTCAATCCCAGAGCACCTAGCACAGAACAAGTATTTTATGAGTGTTTCAATGACAAATAACTACTATGTACACAGGGAAGGAAGTTGAAAACTGATGAATCATATACATGTTTGCCCAGGTCCATATAACATTGCTGTTGTTTCAGTCTTGTTTACATACCAAGTATGCAGGTGTCTGCATACAAAAATAGAAATGTTTAGACTTCTTAGGATAATTTTGAAAAGTCTGACATCAGTAGGTCTGCCTGTCTACATGGCAACAATGTTATGGAGCTGGGGCTGCTATTTGTGGGGGCTCTTTTTCTCTTAAGTTGTTGTAGTCCCTGCTACTCTTCTCTAGACATTTGGATCACTGCTCCCTAACCTAGGCAATCAAGTGACAGTGAATCTCCTCCAGTCCTCAAATCTAATGAAATTTTTTTTGGTGGGGGGAGGGTCATGAGGCTAAAATTCAAGGCCTATGTGCTGTACCAGAGCTTTTCTGCTTAAGGCTAGTCCTCTACCACTTTGAGCCCCAGCTCCACTTCCAATTTTCTGGTGGTTAATTGGAGATAAGAGTCTCAAAAGGGGTGACTCACACTGTAATCCTACCTACTCAGAAGACTGACATCTAAGAATCAAGGTTCAAAGCCAGCCTAGGCAGAAAAGTCCCTGTAAGACACTTATCTCCAATAAACTACTCCGAGAAAATGGGCATTGTGGCAAGTGGTAGAGCGTTAGCCTTGAGCACAAAGAAGCTCAGGGACAGCACCCAATTCCTGAGTTTAAGCCCCAGAAGCAGAAAAAAAAAAAAAAGTCAAGAATTTTCTTGCCCCAGCTGGCTTCAAGTCACAATCCTCAGATCTCAACCTCCTGAGCTACCAGTGTTTGGCCTACCTATGGTTTTTAAGTAGTAATCTATTAATTATAGTTACTTTTTTCAGTGTATAGTATTTTTCCACAAAATACATAGGCCAGTAGACGTGTTGCTAGCTAAAATAAGGATTGTTAACTTTCAGCTTTTTTGGTGGTTAACTGGAGATAAGAGTCTCACAGTCTTTCTTGCACAAGCTGGCTTCAAACCACAAATCTTAGACCTCAGCCTTTTGATTAGCTAGGATTATATGAGTTAGCTGAGTAAGATTTTCTTATGTAGGTACTGGGGATGTTTTGCAGAACCCAAAGGTAAGAAATGCAGCCTAGGAGGATGAGGGAACATTATGGAAAGAATGACCATCAAAAGTACACTGTACACCAGGTGCCAGTGGCTCATACCTGTAACCCTAGCTACTCAGGAGGCTGATATCTGAGGATCACAGTTCAAAGCCAGCGTAGGGCAAGAAAGTCCCTGAGACTCTTATTTTCAATAAACAGCTCAGAAAAAGCCAGAAGTGGCACTGTGGCTTCAGTGGTACAGTGCTAGCTTTGAGCATAAAGAGGCTCAGAGACAGCACCCAGGCCCTTAGGGCAAGCCCCAGGATTGGCCAAAAAAAAAAGCAATGTACACATAAATAGGCATGATAGCTTATAACTCCCTTCTACAATTGTAGCTCCTCTCTATTTTCTGTAGACATAAAAATAAATTTTAAAAGGAGAAAAGAAATACTGCTTAGCCTCAGAAAAGAGCAGAAACAGTAGATCCAATGGCCCATTTTAGGTCAGGTGGCTACCTGTGACCCTATCAGCTAAAGCTAAAAAGTAGTGATGTTATACAAACATGTCAACTGGGCTCTGCCAGTGTGCTTAGAGAAGGGGGATAGCTTCCCTAGAAGAAGTTTCATGGGCTAGGCAGACAGTCCCAAAGTGTCTACTGTGGAACTTCAAGGAGGTTGACATTTCTTTCAAGAGACTAATGTTTCTCTTTTGGCCTTATTTTCACTCCTTTCTCTAAATTTGTCAATCAAGGTAAGCAGTTGGTAGCCCCCAATGTAATGACTAGGTGAAATGTTTTCTAGAAACACACCAGTGGGATTTAGCCACCTGGGAAGGCCTCTTGCCCCGGTATGAGCATGCCAGCTTCATTCCTTCCTGCACACCTGACAGCATCTGGATTTTTGGAGGCGCCGACCAGTCAGGAAATCGAAATTGTCTCCAAGTTCTGAATCCCGGTAAGGAGCCAAAGGTTATTTAATTTTCATCATTCACACACTCAGTAATAATTGCAGCACATTTAGATTGAAATAACTTTATTTTGCTGGCTTCAGAGAACTAGGAATTTATCCCCTGCTTGAATGACAAAGCTGGAAGGAAGGAACAGCTATGCCATGTTGTCTGCTCGGGCCTATAGGGGGATGTGGCTTTCCTACAGTCACCAAACAGTCAATGACTAAGCCTAGCTAGAAGCCAGGTCATCTAGGTCAGTGGTTCTCCAGATGGGCTTGTTATGCCCACACTAGACACCGGGCCTTGTCTGAAAACCTTTTGACCTATCGCACCTGGCTGGGACTAGCATTACTACTGACATCTAACAAGTGAAGGCCAGAGATGCTACTATATGTCCTGGTTGCTTAGGACAGCCCCACAATAAAGTTATCTCATATAAATGTCAGTAATGTGAAAGTTAAGAGATCTCTACATAGACCCTCCCCCTCTCAGAATGTTTCATTTAGCCATGAGGGCCAAGTTCCTGCCTGCCAGGTTTAGCGTAGGGGAAGTACATTGAAGCATCACACCTAGAAGGAGGTGGCTGAACTTCCTTAGGGAGGTATACTTCCCTTTTGCTCTTTTTGAAACCTTAATCTGTTCTTTTAAAAAATCATTTACATTCATTGTGAAATATTTGCAGGGGCCATTGGCTCACACCTGTAATTCTAACAACTAAGGAGGATGAGATTTGAGGATTGTAGTTCAAAGCCAGACCAAGAAGGAATTTCTGTGAGATTCTTATCTCCACTAAACTACAAAAACAAAAAAAGAAAAACATAAGTGGAGCTGTGTCTCAAGGTATCAAATGCTAGCCTTTAGCAAAAGAGACTCAGGGACAGGGTGTCAACCCTGAGTTTGAACCCCACCAGAACAAAAAAAAAAAAGTCTTAGGAAGTGCACGAATGGCATCCATAATCTTGTTATATAAATGCTGTTAGTAATATTTCTGTGTTCAGCAGCCCTTTTTTTTTTTTTTTGGTTGGTCGTGGGGCTTGAATTTTGGGCCTGGACGCTGTCCCTGCGCTCTTCAGCTCAAGGTGAGGGCTCTACCACTTGAGCTACAGCGCCACTTCCGGTTTTCTAGTGGTTTATTGGAGATAAGAGTCTCATGGACTTTCCTGCCCGGGCTGGCTTTGAATGGAGATGTTCAAATCTCAGCCTCCTGAGTAGCTAGGATTACAGGCGTGAGCCACCGGCCCCCTGCTCAACAGTCCTTCTTTTTTTTTGGGGGGGGGTGGAGTTTCTCAAAATACAATTTAAAACTGTTTTGTACCAGTACAATATATTAATTTTACAAATGTAAAATTTTATCAGCTGTTAAAGCATTTGCAAAAACCACACATTCTACTTCAGCTTTTCAGCAGTCCTTCTTATTGGATACCTTTCTCTGGCTTCAGTTACCTAACTTAGTGATTCCAAAAATATTAAGTGGAAAATTCCATACCTGCCTAGCATACACAAAGCCCTGATTAACATCCACAGTACTGAAAAATACAAAGGAACAAATGAACAAATTTCAGAAATGAACAGTTTTTAAGTTTTAGATAACTTTTTTTGTTGTTGTTGGTTGCAGGGGCTTGAACTCTGGGCCTTGGTACTGTCCCACAGCTCTTCAGCTCAAGGCGAGTGCTCTACTGCTTGAGCCACAGTGCCACTTCTGATTTTCTAGTGGTTTATTGGAGATATGAGTCTCACATACTTTCCTGCACAGGCTGGCTTTGAACCATGATCCTCAGATCTCAGTCTCCTGAGTAGCTAAGATTACAGGCGTGAACCACGGCGCCTGGCTAGATAACTATTTTTTTTATTTTAATTTTAATTTTTTGTGAACATACTGTACATTGCAGCCTCCTCCTTTGTTTACCCTTCACATCCCTTCCCAGCCTCC